TTGTTCACGTGGGTTTCCTCCGGGTGCTCCAGTTTCCCCCACAAGTCCAAAGACATGTAGTACAGGTGAATTGGGAAGGCTAAATTGTCCATAGTGTGCATGGATGATTTCCAGTGATGAGTTGCAGCTGGAAGGGCATCCGCTGTGTAAAACATTTGCTGGATAAGTTAGCGGTTCATTCTGCTGTGGCGACCCCGCATTAAAAAGAGACTAAGCAGAAAAGAAAATTAATGAATGAATAAGCCAGAATGCCATGCTAATTTTAATGATAGTACAAAACAGTATTGCTGCATTAGAATATTTTAGACATATGGACACATTGGATGAGTGGAGCAAAGCCACACCACATGGTTGCGGCTATAAGCAACTTGATCTTCCATAGTTAAATTAATTTGATAAAAGGCATGCAACATTTTCATGATAGAAAGCAGGTTTTTTATGCTGGTATATAAGTGATTTGCTGATATGCTGCATGGCTCCTTTAAATACAAGATCAATGCGAATTTTGACACTCATCGGCAGAGGGAAGAAGGGATGGCAGACAGCATTGTCGTCAGGGCGGCCAGAGCAAACTTTGGCGCTCTCGCAGCCTTTGTTGTGAATGCACAGTTATGCAAAAAAATGACTGGTAATTATGTTCAGTTTCTTGTATAGACTTATTGTTCACCTCACAAAACCACAGTGTATTGTCAGGAGGCACAGTGAAAAAAATCATTCATTGGATTTACTACATTTGCAAGTGGTTGTAAACAACTTATATATGCTGGATTCAAACTAACAAATTAAATTTAGTAATGTTCAACTTGATTTGTTTCTTTAAATTCAGCCCATATAAATTGTTTGCAATGAACCATTTTTGGGTATTGTTTTTGTCTGTTTTTTTTAACTTGTAGTCTTGAAATGTTATGAATCTTATAAAAACACAGTTTCAGCTGAAAATTAGCTTAAAAGCTTTGCTGAAGAAAACAAGTTACTTACATGTTGGATGGTCTGAGGGCAAATACATTTACACAAAATTTTCAATATTTTAGCGAGCTGCCCTTTCAATAATGAGTGAGCAGGTTTCATAATATCTAATGTCATTTCATGCAATGTAATGAACAAGGTGTTTTGATCATCTCAGTACAACCTTTTTATTTTTATATTTATTTATTTTTGACTTATATGAGCAGATTTGCTAATTTAAAGCCTTTTATTGATGGATTAAAACAAATTGTATATAAAATGTACATTGTATATACAGTCATGTTCAAAATTATTCATACCCCTGGCAAATTCTGAGTTGTTACTTTTATTCAACCAGCAATTTTTTTTTTTTTTTTTTTGACCAGAATTGACACAGGCTTCTCCCTGAAGATAATAAGAGGTATCAATGTGGTAAAAAATTATCACATTTGTTACGTTTAAACAAAAATAAATAACGATTAATATAAACATATGAATAATTTCAGACTTGACTGTATATTTCTTAAATTTACACCCTAACAGTGCTCAGCATAAAAAAGTTCCCTCTTTTAAATTGTTTTCTGCAGTATGCTTTACAATATTATATTTGTGCATTTTCATTAGACTGGTCAGGACTAAAACCAAATCTTATCTAACAAAAACAAAGTACAAAAAACTGTCCCAAAATTAGTACTGAAAAATTTTACAGGGGACCTATTTTACCCCTATTACAAGATGTAAGATAAGCCTTTGTTGTCTCCAGAATGTATCTGTAAAGTTTCAGCTCAAAATACCCATCAGATAATTTATTGTAGCCTCCAGAATCTGCTCATTTTGGTGTCTGAGTACATTGTAGTTGTTTTTGTATCCTGTGGCTTTAAATGCAAATGAGTTTCTTTTCCCCACCCACCGCTCCCATGTGTGTGTCTGCTTCTAATCATGCGTTATGTCAGATAAACAGCAGTCAGTGATAGAGACAGACACAGATGAAGCTAAAATACAGCTCGTTAGTTAAAAATACCAAGTAAGTTTATTTGATGTTTTTGTGGTGGAGTTTATTCAAGCCTTTCTGAAATGATGAGTCTCACACAAATGTTGTTTGCAGTTGTTTCACACCATAAGTGCAAGCAGAGCGTGAGCAGTATGTGTCAAGCTCGTATGGAGAGCAGAAGCTCATTGGCAGCTGTTGCACAGATTGATGCATCTCTGTCTATTCAATCTAGTTACCTATCTATCTATAAATACATGATTTTTTTTTACTTTTCATCTGCACCAAGGCCCATGGCAACTTCCTCCTCTGCTGTTTCCTTAACCTGCAAGTCTTTATTTTACTAATTATATAGATCCTAAAGAACTGTCTGCTTCTCAAGCTCTATGAGGAGTGTCATACATGTCTTTTCAGGTGCACTCGGTCAGAAGACACTCTGATATCATGTCATTTTGTTTTTGATTGTAAGGGTAATGTAAGCCTATAGTTCTAAAAATATTTATACAATATATTTTTAATGATATTTATACATGTTCAAACTAGTGTGCAGCTTACTAAGAAAAACTAAAACTAAAATAGTTTTAAATTGTTTTAAATTTGGTTTTGTAGTTCAAGCCCAAATAAATATTTGTCGCTATCATTAAATCATTTAAGCTTTTTACTGTCATTATCAATGCACTGTCACTTTCATTAAGCGTGCTTCTGCGTGCCGTATAAAAACTCTAATTTGTTAACATGGACACTCAAAAATACACACGCTGCTCCTACTTGCGGTGTGAAACAGGCTTTAGATAGTGATTTTGCTGTCTTCATCACAAACAATCTCTGTTTTAAAAAAACATTTTAAACTTATAAAAATCACAGAGTTATTTGGAACAGATATTTAAACCCAGTTTATTGTAAAAAAAAAAAAATGTTCTGTGGAGGTGTGTAAACATGTTATTATAGAAACAGGGAGCCTGTCAATCAATTCAGTGGGTGGGGAAAACCGCATTTCTACGTCATGTTGCGGTGGGCATCAAAATCACTGGGATTTGGGTTTTATTATAACATCAGGAAATTTTAAACAGAGACTTGTTGTTTTTATACCACTCCAAAATAACAGTGTATACATACACACAGTTCTGTCCAAACAGGTTACAAAAGTTAATTTTCATCATACGTTCTTTTTAAATAAAATGTTAATACACAGGAAAAGTCAAGAGAAACATAAAAAATATATATCAAATTTAGCTGAAATAACAAATTTAGCAATTACTCATTTGAATGTAAATATATTATCTTTCTATTCCTGAAGATGTTAGGTGATTAAAAACATATTTTAATGGATATCACTGTTTAATACAGCTGTTATGTTTAAATGCACCAAAGTTTATCACCTATATTCACTAAGAAATGGATAACAAATATATAAAAGGGGGTGTACTCATCTATGCAGAGCACTGTATATATCTCTATTTATGTGATGATTTAAATGTAATTTATTTCTATATAATATTTTATGTTTTCCTTCGCGTTTTTCATTCTCCACATGGTTTAGTCTTTTTTTTTCCAGAGTATGAAAGAGGACGTTGAATGTAAAGCCTGAACAAGATGTTAGTATAGATGTTGCTGTAGGCTGCATTTCACAAGTATTGCATTGCAGCTCCCCCTGCCGCATTTTTTTTCTCCTCATAAAACGTACAGTATGAACAGGGAGCCATGATTTGATGCCGCAGGTAGAGTGCCATCCCACTTCTGAATGCCATTGCATTGAATGAATACATCTGAAGGTGTCCGATACACTTTCGTTAGTTAGCTACTAGTGTGTTGCTTGTATAAGTTTCATATGAGACTGACAATTATTTGGTAATTAACTCCTACAGTGTTTTTCTTTTAGGCTAGACAGAGTCTGGCTTGATGGAAACACACAACTAATCAGTGTGTGTTTTGACTGGAGGTGGTTTTCTGCATGTCATTATGAAGATAGTCTTAAGATTGGTTTCTGACAGTGTGTGTGCAAAAATAATACTAACAGATCAGCATCGGCTAATGTGTTTTTGTTCGTCGGTTTGCTGCCCGCCGTGTGTGACATTTCATCCAGCACTGTCAGCATTTGTGCATTTTGTACTTTTTAAGTGTGTTTCTAATAGATTTGTCACTACTTGTGAAGGGCTTAAAAACTGGCTGATTTCTGAGGGATCTATTTAGTGTAATATGGCAGATTTGCACAAGGCTTTATCTACCATTTCCACCTGTTAGGTGTTTTTTTTTTTTTTTTTTGAAGACCTAATTTTTATGGAAATGCAAAGTCTGAGATTTTTTTGATCCTACAGTAGGAAGTAAATTGTTTGAATAGTATCTCACTGCTAGTGTTATATCAGTCAGAGGTTTTTCTTTGAATAATGTACTAATTAAATAGTGGAGTGATGGCTAAATTCTGCTTGTCAGTAAAAAAAAACGTATTGGAATGTTTTAGATAAGTTTTAGAATGCACACTTCCAAAATGGTGGGAAATAAGTTTCCATTGTCATTCAGTGTAACAGGTAAATTAATGTAAAAAAAATTAAACAGCATACTTATTAAAGGAACACTCCACTTTTTGAGGGAAATATGCTCATTTTACAAGTTATCTAGAGTTAAATATTTGAGTTTTCCATTTTTTTAATGCATTCAGTTGATCTCTGGGTCTGGAGGGAGAACTTTTAGCTTAGCTTAGCATAAATCATTGAATCGGAGCATTAGCATCTTGCTCAAATAATAAAAAGTTTTGATAAGTTTACTATTCATAGTTTGAAACTTCTGTTGCTACATCATTTACTAAGACAGACAGTAAATGAAAAGTTTCAGTGTCATTATGGCTGGTAACTATATTCTCAATGGGATTTTTTTGCTAATGGTCTAACATGATTTAATGATCTATGCTGAGCTAAAAGTCGTATTTACAAAAATAAGACTGCACTATGATACATAAATGCATAGTCTTGTATCGTCATCAAATAATTATTTATATAAATGCTTGACAAAAATTCTGAATATAAGTAAATTATATCAATAATTTGTGTTTTTGTGTGTTTTACTCCTCCAGGGTATCGAGGGCAGAAAGGGGAACGGGGTCAGATGGGTCTGGGACTTCCAGGAGCTCCAGGACCCGCCGGACCACAAGGTACAAAACTTATTATTAATACTCTCTAGTTACGAATATTTAGGACCTGAAGTCTGTCAATTACCACAGAAGAGTACTTTGATTAAACGTTATGTGTGTTTACTGAATAAATCAGAATACTGTTCAGAATTTAGGGTGAATTAAAATTGTTGTATAAGTATAATAATTGTTAATGTATTTTAAAATGAAATGCATGCTTTTAATCAGCAAGGTAGGGAGATTTTATTTTTATATTATTATATTTTCATATTTTTATATTATATTTTTTGTCGATCAATGTGTTTTTAAAAAATGTTTGAATTTTTAAATCAAGGAACTGCAGTTTTGAATAAATATCAACAAATGTTACTACAAGAAACGTATGGTAGTTGTAGTTGTTAGAAGAAAAGGAAATAACATGACTGCACGATGGAACACATGTGAAGGACATTTTTATTGAAACATTATTTATTGAAAAAATATTTTAATCTCTTATGTATTAATGTGTTATTAAGCGTATACAATTGTTTTTTTAAATGAAATCTTAAATAGATCAAACATGAAAGATTTTTATTTGTCATATTGGCCAGCCACATATATATATATATATATATATATATATATATATATATATATATATATATATATATATATTGGCCTTTATGTTAAATATTCATCAAAGAATTCTGAGAAAAAGAGCATAATTATTAAACCCAATCTTTCAGAAGATATTCCAACTTGGTATGTTAGGGTTTTGAGTTTGGAGAGTATTTTAATTTGTTTATTTTCTTGAACATTTTCTCCTTCGTTTTCTTCATTTGGACATATATAAAAACCAACGTCCATCTGCTCAAAAATGCCTAGAAAACAAACTCTGGTTTGCTTGTGGACAGGAATGAATCTGACCCAATGAACCAGACTTTGTTAAAATGTATGATGAATTATTCAGTATGTTTTATTCAGAATGCTGCATTTGTTTGTTTTGCTAATGCGTCTCAAAATGAATTGCAGGTTGACTTGAAGCCCTTTTTGTAACATTACAAATGTTTTACTGCCATTTTTTTAGCAATTTGATGATGATATTAGGGCATAAAATGGTGAAATCAAAATGCTGAACACAAAAATATTCTGAAATGCTTAAAATGATAAGTAGTGTAGATGTAGTGAAAGGCCTTTTTGTAACATTACAAATGTTTCACTGCCATTTATCATCAATTTGATGATAGTGATAGGGCATAAAATGGTGAAATCTTTGTGTTTTACGAACATTTGAACTATTCAATATTTCTATTCAAAAACGTAACTACCCTATGATTCAGGTCATATTCTCAAACCATATAACAAAATTTAAAACAACCATCCAAAGCACACAAATAATTTGACTAACGTTTGCTCAAATTGGTTATTGACTATCAAACTTTGTATCTCTACTCTAAACTGTTCAGAATGTGGTTTATAGACCATATCCTATAAGGCTTTTATTCATTTCAGCACTTTTCCTTTGTTAAGGGAATAGGGATACATTTTCTGTGGTAACTGACAGCATGCTTTAGATGTCGCTAATGGACCTTCAGAGGTATTTAACCCAGAATATTTTTTAATTCATGAGCCGTGACACCACTTAATTAGTTGAGATAATTAAAAAACAAATGATCCTGTTTTAGTCATTGCTTTTAAGAGTAAGAGGTGCACTGCCTTTTATATAACAGCATGTTGTTGAATTGTGAAGATAAACAGGCTAGATCAAGCAAGTAGAACAATAGAAACATGTTGCTTTGTGTTTTTGCTGAGGTCCAGAAAGGCCCTCGGTGCTTGTAAATACATTTTCCACGACCGTTCTTTACACTTTTCACACTCTTGAAATCTGCAACACCTAGATAGCGGCGATTATTCAAATTGGTGCTTTAATGTTGTACTTTACAAAAGCACAGGCAGATAATGGCTCCAAACTAAACTAATGACTACGGCATTCTTTAATGAACGGCTCTTTTATAGAGGTACAAAGTGCTCACTGATTGTTCTTCAAATGAAAAAATACAAAAGAGACTTTAACCGGGGGTTCTTTATAATTGCAAGGCGCACCATAATCGCTGGCTGCTGTGATTTCCCTTTTTCTCCTCTTCCTCTGCAGTTAAAGGGTAACAAGCTCATGAAAAGAAGTTTTATTCTGTTTGTTCTGCCATGATCACTCTAAGGGAAACTTTATTTTAAATAACAGTGTTTACTGTGTCAAGCATCGTTATCATTGTTCACTGTAGTCACTTGATTATCACAGTATCATCAACCATCAGGACACCTTTGCAATCCTATAGTAACCCCCCTGCAATACTGCATACTCATATCATAACCACCTACAACACCCCAATATCTTGGTGACCTACTAACTGTGGCAAGATTCGGAGGTGTGCATGGGGTGCTAGTGGCTGGGATGCACAAGAAAAGAAACCTAAAAGCCACTCTGGCGACATCCTTACATCCTTTTTTATTTACAGTCACCGCTGCTAGTCACAACACTTATTTTCGCATGTATTGTCATTCTGACCTGAGGTGGCATTGATGAAACCCCAACCCATTTACATATAGGATCTAAAAGCCGGTGAAAAGCATGAGTGCATGGTTTCCTTTACCATTATCAATGCGATTTGCACTCGTGCTATGCTGGTGTCTGTCCTAACTAGGTGACCATCAATCATTTTCTCAGAGGATAACAAGCAGACAAACCATTGCTGTTTATTTATGCAGAATATTAAGAAGTCGTGCAGTGTTTGGGTGCTCTGTGTTTGTCTGGGGAAATTTGTCTGCCCTTATTAATGAAATTATCTGTATTCCATACAAAGTGTGAAGCAGATTGATTAGTTTTACTTGCAAGAATTGCAGTGTGCCCACAGCATTCTTAAAAGTTGAGATGTTTTTAACTAGGTTCCCCTGGAAAATACATCATGTGCGTGTTGCTCCCTAATTGCACACGCAAGTCATTCACCTCAATTGGAAATAACCCCAAGCTTATGGACATTTCTTCCAAGGTGTGCGCTCAGCAGACACATTTTAATAAACTGTAGTACTTCATAACAAACAATTTTTTTAAAACTGATTTTGTCAATGGTGTTCAGTCAATAAATACAGATACAGTTTTATCAACCCAATCCTAACATCAACACCATGGTAACCAACTACAACAGCCCAGTATCATGTGAGCCACTACTTCCAGTGAGATTCTGAAGTGTGCATCCAATGGGCACTTTATTATCTGATGAGGCCACACCAGAGAATTTAGGAATGGAAGTAAAGCGATGCAACTGACACGGATAGCAACCTGCTAAAATAATTTCAAGACAACTTAGCAGCCTCCGCCAACGACTCACAACAACAGATCATCTTTGCAACTGCATAGCAACTGCATTGTCTGTTGCGGTCAATAGTGACGCCATGTTTTTTGAGTGCCTGCAGCAGAGCGAGGCACTAACCAGGCGTTTTACAGTCAGCACTAAGCGCTTAGTGTTTTTTCAGGCATTGCAAGTTGAAAAACTCAGTGCCCATCAGTGTCACTTTTGAGATAACCGTCAAATCACCGTGGAGAAGGGGCGGGACTATACCATGCAACTGTTACCACCACCACAACATGGAATGGCAACTAACTGAAAAAAAAAGCTGGACTGCAAAAATGCTCACAGCCTAAAGGTGCATTCACATTAGAGTTTTCTTTCATACTGCACTGTGAAATGGGGCAGGATAAAATAAGATGATTAGACAATTGCTTGCTTGATCAAATGTCTGTACAGAGAGGTCCTGTTTTGATCTTCTATTGGTCTCACGCAATCACATTCACATTTACATTTACATTTAGTCATTTAGCAGACGCTTTTATCCAAAGCGACTTACAAATGAGGACAAGGAAGCAATTTACACAATTATAAGAGCAACAATGAATAAGTGCTGTAGGCAAGTTTCAGGTGTGTAAAGTCTAAGAAGGAAAGCTGAAATAGCTAGTAAATTAGTAAATTTATTATTATTTTATTTATTTATTTTTTGTAGTTAGTGGAGGAGTCAGAGAGGGAGTTGCGGATTAGTAAGGAAAGTGGAGACTGAATAGTTGAGTTTTTAGTCGCTTTTTAATGACAACGTGTGACTCTGCCGTTCTGATGCAGTTCGGGAGTTCATTCCACCAACTATGCAGATTGAGCGCGAGCGTTCAAGAAAGCGTTTTCTTGCCTCTTTGGGATGAAACCACGAGGTGACGTTCATTCACAGAACGCAAGTTTCTGGAGGGCCTATAAATCTGCAGAAGTGAGAGCAGATAAGAAGGGGTGCAGCCAGAAATCGCTTTGCAAGCAAACATCAGTGCTTTGAATTTGATGCGAGCAGCAACTGGCAGCCAGTGCAAACGAATGAGTAGCGGAGTGACATGTGCTCTTTTAGGTTCATTAAAGACCACTCGTGCTGCTGCATTCTGAAGCATATGAAGAGGTTTGATAGAACTAGCTGGGAGCCCGGCTAGTAGAGAGTTGCAATAGTCCAGTCTGGAAAGAACAAGAGCTTGAACAAGGAAAGAACAAGAGCTTGAACAAGGAGTTGAGCTGATGCGATTTTGAAGGTCAGAGTTCAACTTTGGTACTCAGCGCAAAAGCTTGCGTTTTCAGTCTGTTGCATTCGCATGTGTATGAATGGAACTCTATGGGGCTGCATGTGACCAAGGTTTAAGGGATCATTCACACTGAATATATCTTTGGTTCTAGAAACGCTTGATGCGGCGCTCAAAAATGGGTTTTAAAAAAGCGCAGAGCATCATGAGGTGTACATGTTGCAATATTGTGAATGTGATGTAATAACACAATGACAGACCCATTAGTAACAGGAAAATAATATGTTATAATAAGCACAAGACGATACATCATATAACTTAAGATATTCTGGACAAAGCTAAAATGAGTGCCTCATCCACCATGATATGATATAATAGGAAATAAATCAGTTGGGAAATAAAGCTCGCAACAGTTGCCTCACCTAAGAGTTCTTCTGATTGGTCCATTGCTATGGAACTGACAGTGATGAGCTGCACTGCGTGTGAAAGTATAAGGTCCTACAACTCGACATGGCATCTAATTTTTTTTTTTAACGTGAGACCCAAACGTAATGGTCAAACACTTCTGTCAAGCATGGATTTACATTTGAAAAACAAAAAAAAGTAGCACATTGGAGAGGAAAACTGCATTCTGTGCGAACGGCCACTAATCCTTTACTTCCTGCTTTTAATTTGTCACCAGGTCCAGTTGGATTAGGACCCCAGGGGCCTTCAGGTCCCCCGGGGCCCCCGGGTCCGCATGGAAGATGTAACCCCAGCGACTGCTTCCACCCTTATGGTAGACGGGATGGCTAGAAACTGACACACCCTCATCAATGCTGAATAAATCAAGCGAAGCAGCTCATCTAAAATCCTAATAAAAACAAGTGTAGGATGCCTCCTGGAGGAGAAGAAACAAGCAAACCTCATCCCCGCAGAGCAGCCATTACCGCTGATGTCATTTTATCATTTCTCTCCGCTTCATTTCCCATAGTTGTGACCAATGCATTTACTCGTGTTTTGCGGATATGACATGAGAATTCAAATGCCATCGATACACTAATCACAAGCGACTGAGGCGGTGCGGTCAATGCAATGCAGGTGAAATGAGAATTTTATTTACATTCGCTTCTTTTCTTCAAGCTGACGTGAAGTAGTTTTCATTAAATTGTGATGCCGCTATGCAATCTAATGTAGAAAAGCTCGTGTAAATAACAGACATTTTAATTGCTTTTCAGACATTTACTTTTGAAAATATTTAAAAAGCAATGTACTTTCAGTCCTTTCAGGAAGAACATTGCTCATGAAGGGAGTAAGTTATTGTCATATTTATCAGCCGCACTGATGATGCATATATAATGGAGCACTCATATAACCTCTGAGACCACTAGTACAATTATTCATCTTTCTCATTAATCATTATACATTTCAAAATTCAACTAAAATGTATAATTACTAAATGAAACAAAAAAATAATTGAAAATATAAGCAATTTATATTTGTGTGTTTATTATTTATTTTAGATTTTAACATCATCATTATTTCTCTAACCACCATAATTGATCAATTTGCAATTATTATTAAAGGGTCATGAACCACAAACCCCCTCATTTCTCCGCCGGGTGTTTTTACACCTCTAGACTGACAAAAGTCAGGCAAGTGAGTGAGTCCAGCTTTGTTTAGGTGGGAGTGTCGAGTGGCGAAAGAGGGAAGTTTTTGCATGAAAAGGGGAGTTTCAGCATGTGCACGCGTGGATTTTCATAGCGGCAAAAACAATACAAACACAGGAGAGACAGTGACTACATTTACATGGACATCAGTAATCAAATTATTTGCCTTAATTTGAATAAGACAATAATATAATAAATGAGTTTACCTGAGACTTTTTGAATGTTCCTTTTATCATCCTGTTTTTTCCCGTAATTTCGGGTGTTTCATTCTTAATTTGTCGAATTTAACTGCAGTTAGGCCCTTTCACTTTCATTTACGAACATTTCATGCATGCCCCCTGTGACAAACGAGATATTGGATGCGAGGAACTGCTGGAAGAGTGTTGTTTTAATGGAATTTTTGATATTGCACGACGATTGGAAGAAAAAAAATACTCTGCATTTCTTAATGCAGAGACTCGGTAGATGCAAACAGTAACATCAAACAGCTGTGTGTATGGACTATACAGTCACAAAATGCGGCAAAAATCATACGCAACCCATGTCTCCAAATATTTCTTTTTTTCCACAAATTTAATTAGGCAACACAACCTCTCAGTGGTCTGAACACTGTACAAGTAAAAACAGTCTTCAAAGCTATATCGTGCATATTAATGAAGTAGCACCTCATTCACAATAGAGCGCGCTGATTGGTTTGAACCAAGTCTTTCCCATGAATTAAATGATGAAAACTCAAAGACATCACGTATTGGCCGGTACATACAGCCAATCTCCCTGCTGGATTTTACACAATGATCTCATCATGGTGATGCAGCGTCAAATTTTATGTTTGAACCAGAAGAACGAATTTGCTCGAAATAACACAAACAACCAATTTTCAGGGTTTTTTTGGTGAAATTTATGTGTCTTAATACACATATATGACACATATATGATTGTCAACATCTCAAAAAAATGTATTTTGGTGTTTCATGACCCTTTAATATCTCTCTTTTTTATCTAAAAGTTGTTCATTTTGTGTTTAAAATGGGTAAGAGAATCTCCTAATTTTAAATATGGTCTCCTACTTTTATGTAAATGTTTGACCAAACACAGCAAATAGTAATAATTGAAATAATAATAATAATAGCGATGTTGCCGTGTGGCTGGTGAGGTCAAAACTGCTCATGACATTAATAAGCTTTAATTGTTTACAGGGAAATAAAGGAATTTTCCTTTATTCAGACTGTTTGAACACCTCCATAATGGTGTAGTATGTATATTTTGGTCTCTACTAGGTTTGATTTTCGGAAAAAAAAAGAAAAAAAAGATGTGAATTGCTTTTTTATTTGCATATTTATCTTTGGCTTCGTGTGAAAAGCGTCCTTCCATGTTACTTGAATATTTTTTTATAAGACAACATATTTGTCAATATCATATTCACAAATGGCAAACCGTCATATTATCAAACCTTACATTTCATGGGCAGCAGTGTGTCTTAAGACCATGTTTTTTGTAATTCAGGTCTTTATTTATTGTAGTCCGGATTCACATTTTATTTATTGTGTTTATCTTGAGATTTTACTGTACAAGTCATTGAATCGTTTGACTCTCTGTTGGGAAGATGAACAGTTCTTGAGTGGTGGATGGAGAACAGTTTTGTGATGTTTTGCATTTTGGTTTGTGCTGCTTTCTTCTTTCTTCCTGAGTTTCTTTCTTCCTGTTTTCTTTTAGTACACTGGGGTCAATTATGTAGACGTTTGGTGTCTCACACTCGCCAAGACTGCATTTATTGCAATTTTAATTCTGTTGACATGATGTCTGTGAATTGCCGAGCTTTTACAAACTGCAAAACAAATCCATATTGAACAGATGCTTTCTTTAGTGTTGCTTTTTTGTTATTGGGAGGAAAGAGCGCAACATATATTTAAGTATGAATCTAAATGTTGCGTTGTTGGAGCAGTGTTGGGTGTAATTAGTCTCAAATTAACTGGTTACTGTAATTAAATTACTTTTCTGCTGAAAAAAAATTAGGTAAGGGATTACTTTTTATATTTATGTTATTTAATTAGTTACTTGCTTAAATACTAGGCATAAATTCAATCGTTCCATATAAATCAATTCTGAGAAGCAGAGTAATTTTGTTTTTTTATGATTAAAAATATATTTTGCTGAATAATAATATTTTTCATCTAAATAAAACTACATTATTAAACATGTCATGTTTTTTTTTTTCTTGGGAATAATATTTCTAAAGGAAATGTTGACGTCACATCGAACCAGATTTTGGTAAAAGCCCAAACAATACAATATTAAAATATAACAATATATTTTTTTGAATCTGAAAAAAATAGTTAAAAACGTATTTAGTACTGTATTGAAAAGGCTTTTTTGGTGATGGCAGCTTAAGGACGCCTCATCTGAAGAATGAAGTCACATGAATTGCTCAGCTGAGGTTTTTCTCACAAACTTCGACAGTTTCAAAATCCTAATGGTTCTGTGGGTCTTGTCTCAAATCTGATCTTTATTTTGCTTTTCTATTGTATTCCAGTCAGGTGATTGGCTGGGCCATTCTACAGCTTGTTTTTCTTTCTCTGAAAGCATTTGAGAGTTTCCTTGGTTGTTTTTTAGATCATTGTCTTGCTGAAATGTCCACCCTGGTTTTATCTTCCTCATCCTGCTAATGTAGATGTTGGACTGAAGCAGCTAATATTCATTTACATTGAGAAAGGGCAGAGGTACTACTGAGATATTTTAGTTGCTGTCTGGGCTTTCACTGCCTTTCTAAACCTCCCTTTCTTCATGTGTTCAATACTTATTCCTTGCATTTTATTACACATAACTTCATTAAAAAATTTATTTGTTTTTTGTTTTGTTTTTTGCATATATTTTGCAAATATAGATTTCTTTGGTTGTTACCAACCTACCAAAATTTCAAGTCAACAGCATCTTTAGAAATATGGGGGGTTTTTTTGAAATATTGTGACATATTCAATACTTATTTCCCCACTGTATATAAAAAAATAAGTTGTTAATGATAAATGTTAATTTTTGTTTAATAAAACAGTTTGACTCAAATGTAAATAATATAAAGTTGAATTTTTATTGTCTTTGCATTGGGATTTATGTGGATTTGTAATATTGAGTTAAGTAATTAAATTACGTATTGAGTAACTAAGTTACTTTTTAGACAAAGTATTTATCGTGTAATATGTTTTTTTTTTTTAAGTAATTTAGCCAACACTGCTCTGGACACATCTAGATGTTCACTATTAGTGAATCACTGCAAATGTTTTTGCAGCTTTACTCCTCGAAGCAAAATATTAATAATAGTTAGAATTAATAATATTAATTAGAGTAACATATGAAAGTACTATTGTTTTGTATTTAGCCTTAATCAGAAGCAATATTTATTTTTTAAGCATTATTATTCCAGACTTTTGACCCCCAGTGTGCATTTTTTCTTTTTTTTCTTTTTTTCTTCCTCCCTTTCTTCCTTTCATTTTGCACATAGGATTAAGTGTGACAAAGCAAACCCTTGTTAGGTTTTTGCTGTTTTATTTTTATTAATTATAAAGTTTTACTGTTTTTATTTTTATATGTACCAGATTACCTCTGCTGAGAGCTGAAATATTGATGGTTTCAGGTCTTAAGACTATTTTGGTGAAAACGATTGTCTAAAATCCTTCCAAGTAAGCATCTCAGAGTTGGCATGACTTCATATTTACCTTTAATAGTAGTTCTGTTTCTTTTTTTATTATTCTTTTACATAAATGGGCTATTATTAATGACATGTAGCATGGATACAATATGTTTCTCAAGGGCTAATACTGTGGACTTACTTGAAGGACAGTCTTAAGACAAAAGCCCACATCTACCTGATATGCACTGCATCACCTGATGGATCATCTGGAGGAGGACTGTGTTTCAGTGTGGCTCTGTTTTCAATATGACAAATGCTCACTGTGGTCAGATACAGTAGCACACATGCATTGTGTGTCAGTTTATTAGCATTTTCTTTTGTGCTTGGTCTTGTAGATGCATTTGGTTTGCATATTTTACATATCTGTAAATCATTTAAATAAATGTCCTTAATTTAACATGCATTGTGAAACACTCTAGTGGTGTGTGTGTGTCTGTATTATGCAACAGAACGGTTCACCTAAGCGATGACCCTTGTGTCATTCCAAACACGCAAGACCTTCTTTCATCTTCTAACACAATTATTTTGATGAAATCCGAGAGCTCTGATACTCCATAGACAGTGTCCTGCAATATTCAAAGTGCAGAAAGGTAAGATCATTGTCAAAACAGTCATTGTCATCAGTGGTTCAAATGTAAATTTATAAAATTACAAACTATGAGAATATTTTACAGCACAAATAAATGTAACAACTTTATTCAGCAACTACTCTTCAGTCTCAGTTCAGGCCGCACATTCTCAAGCACTCGCAAGTGTTGCTGTACATCTTAATCTTCAATGCGGAAGTGCGTTCGTTTTTGCAATTGTTTTAGAACTTCTGATTCAGCTGCCTGGGGAAGAAATGGCTAGGATTAATAAATACGCAGAAAGTGGTCAAACTGCTCGCTCTACAAACAAATATTAAAAAGTCAGTTTACAACATCAAGCGGCACAACGAGCTGTTTTACGGTACGATATATAGTGGGTATCAGACCAAACAAAAAGCACTGCATTAAGAATCTTCTTTTTCATCCTCTTTTAAAAATATTAATCAACAAATTTGAACTCTTTTTCAAAGGCATGTTGTTTCTAGAACTCGCATAATGACTTTTAATAGAATAGCTAATGATTTGTTATGGCTCAAAATTGAATAAATAATAACAAATAAAGTAAAAGAAATTTCTTTCAAACTTATTTATAAATATTATCCCAGTGATTACTTTCTTGCTAGCAGGTGCCATTGTGAAATTGATACATGCTGTACATTTGTGGTCTACAGAAACACATTATCATTTGTTTTGGAGTTGCCCATACTGTATGTAGTTAATTTGTGGTTAGATTTCTGCTATTTTATTAGAATCAATTTTATGCCCAGTTTAAAAATATTTTATTTGTTTATATATATATATATATATATATATATATATTACTTCTGTCAGCAAAATTTAGCATACACAATAGCAAGTACAGTGATTGCAAGCCATTATTTGTTATTTTAAAGTCTTTAAAATAACAAATAAACTCTTAAAGAGCGGCATTTGCGAAGTCATTATGCAGGATTTTTTTTTTTTAACCCTGCAACCCTGCAGGTGTGAATCATTTTTTGAAATCGATTCAGTTGATTTTCAATTCAGTTCGTTTCAAGCAGTACTGCAGCTAGTGAAACAGTACAAGAAAAGAACAAAAAAAATATGCTAGAACGAAATAAAACGTCTGCAAAGGGAAAAGAGAAAACATAAGGAGTGGCGTAGGCAGTGCTTAATGCAAATACAGTCAAACGGTCTCAAAATGGCGACGTGTTTGCATTGGATTATTTGTTTTGAATGGATTGTGTTTATGTATTACATTGTGTTGTTGTTTTGAAACTTTATGAATAAGCTAACAACAGCTACAATTTAAAACGGAGCTGTTTTTGTATTTCAACTTACCAGAAAACGGCAACCTCCACACCTTTGTAGAGTTGAACTATGCTGTCGTCTCACCTGTAAAAAGACAGGTAATCTGACTTCTTTCACCCTTATGGTTCTTTCTTTGACGGGCTTTACTCTTTTCTGACTGACAGTGTTTTGGAGTGGGCTCTGGGGGGCGTTTGGGATCTTGAGTTTTTGCACTGGTCGTGGGTGTGTGCTACGTTCTGCTTTGCCGATTGCAAAACGTGATTGGGAAACGGTTTGCCAGAATATACCCCGACCTTCAAGTATAGTAAAACACAGTGATGTTAAACTGAATGGGGGACAGTATATTAGCCTACCATGCAGAATAGTTAGTTTCAAATGGTATGCAAAAGCTTAAAACTACTGATATCCCTGCTGAAAAAACCAGCAAAGACCAGCATGATTTTCATGCTGGTCTATGCTGGTCAATGCTGGTTTAGCTGGTTTACCAGCTTGGTCTTGCTGGTGATGCTGGTAGACCAGCTTGGTTTTGCTGGTTGACCAGCTTGGTCTTGCTGGTAGACCAGCTTGGTCTTGCTGGTGGACCAGATTGGTCTTGCTGGTGATGCTGGTAGACCAGCTTGGTCTTGCTGGTGATGCTGGTAGACCAGCTTGGTCTTGCTGGTGAAGCTGGTAGATAAGCTTGGTCTTGCTGGTAGACCAGCTTCGGCTTGCTGGTCAGGCTAGTCTACCAGCTTGGTCTTGCTGGTCATGCTGGTCTACCAGCTTGGTCTTGCTGGTTATGCTGGTAGACCAGCTTCGGCTTGCTGGTCATGCTTGTCTACCAGCTTAGTATTGCTGGTGATGCTGGTCTATGTTTGGTGGACAAGCAAGACAAAACTACCACCCAGATAGCATACAGTTCTGGGCCACATCTGGGCCAACTAAGGCACATATGGCTCACTTCTGGCAATGGCAGGAGACATATGGGCCAGATGTGGCCCGTATGTGTCACACCGGGTGTAGTGTGAGTTGTGGCCTGCTGTATGTGGGCCAGATGTGGCCTGTGTGTGACACATCGGGTGTAGTGCGTGTTGTGTATTTTTAGTTCCGGTTTAACTTTAAGTTAACGGGAGCCTTTGAAGTGGTTACAAATTATTAGAAATTGAAAATCAAAGTTAATTTGTCTTTCTAAGTCTGTACACTTTCATTTTATGAAGTAGAAAATAGAAAATAAATATTTTAAATTAATGTAATGTGATGCAAGGATTTACATTTTTCCGATTGGCTACTTCTGCCTGTGGACTGCATACCTAATGAGTGGGAGGGGCTTGCTGCTCAAACAAAACACAGACTCTTATGTGAAGCAGCAGCAGTTCTGTGTTTCCTGTGTTTTATTAACATTATTGTCCCTCATCAGGCAGTGAGAGCGCTACACCTTCTCTGAAAATAATAACATTGCATGTTCTAAATAAGACTTTCTGAGATTGAAAATGATTCTTTAGGTTATTAAGAATAGGAATAAGCTATTGCTTATCAGGGAAAGTATATGTTTGTAACCTAATCACATATTAATTCAGTTTATTTCCTCAATAATGGATTTATTTTTACTTTAAGGCTGCTATGAATATAAATTTATATTATCTGTTATATGTAAATGTTCCAGCATGAGTAAAATTCTTTTTTTTTTTTCATATTACCTGGTATGTCTATAAATGTCTATAAATGCAACGAGTTTCATCATTTAATATGTTTTGATCCATTAATGTTTTGTTCAGTTCCATTTGAATGAATTAAGACAGTGTCCTACCGCCACCTACGGGGTGGATTTAATTTGCTATTAGTACTACTTTTTAATGAACAATTTTACAAATGAATTCATAATCTAATAATATTGAATTAAAGTGCAGTTTTCTTGGTGTTATTTTTTGCAATTGTACATTTTTATAATGATTTTGTTTGATTAAATGCCACATACAACATTGTTCTTTTTTTATTTAATTTGAATATTAAATAGACATTAATGTTTTGTTTATGAATAAAATAACTATATAGAAAAAATGTAAGAGAACTGAGCAGTAGAATGTGAATAACACAAATGTGTTCGTAAATAAGCTGATCTTTGTAAACAAAACAAAGTTTTATTTACTTATACAGAACACAAAAAATAATAAAAATAAATCTGACCAATTTTAATGCGCACACCTAACCCCGCTCCTAACCCGACCCCTCACTTTGATGTCACTAGCTCTATTTGAGTGCATTGTTTCTGACATTGCATGTCAAACTGTGTGTCTCAGCTTGCATATGCAAGTCTGCAATCAGATACTAATGCTTCTGCAACACAGCCCTGAGGGTACAATACTCAGTGCAGGGAAACACCACACATTATCTTAATCATAAACAACAGCAAATTTAGTTTATCCAAAATTCACTTATACTGCAAATTTTTGCACTATGGAAGAAACTGGAAACCAACAGAAACAACATGCAAACTCAACATAGAAAGGCCCAAAAGTCTATCCTGGTTCTGTGTGTGTGCACCTGTAACAGCGTCAACAAATTTTATAGACAATATGCTATCAATAAGCATGTTAATTAGCAATTAGTTGATTGTAAATATATCTTAAAGTGTTATAGTTTTTATATAACAAGCTACTGAATATTAAAAATAACAGTAAATATTTTAGAATTACAGCATGTTACATAACAGAGCAAGGACATGTTCACAGAATGTCTGATAATATTTTTTCTTCTGGAGAAAGTCTTCGACTAGAATAAAAGCAGTTTTTAATTTTTTTTAAAGTGTTTTAAGGTCAAAATTATTAACCTCTTTAAGCTATATATTTTTTCGACAGTTTCAGAACAAATCATTGTTATAAAATAACTTGCCTAATTACCCTTACCCTAATATATATATATATATATATATATATATATATATATATATATATATATATATATATTTATTTATTTATTTATTTATTTAAAAACATAATCATAAACTGCCCCCTGGTGGCGAATATGTGTTTCGCTTCATCCTTGCATTACGGTGGAGTGGGCGGAGCCTCGTGAATGACGGTTAATTTTTCCAAACGAGGAAGTGAAGTCAAGTCCGCCATTTCATCTTCTTCTTTTTATCGGGTAAGTTATTATTTTAAAATCATATTTGTGAGATATTTGTCGCCAGGTAATGTTTTTATTAGTTAGAAAAGCCCCTGTTTTGAATAGTGATAAAACTGTAACTTATATGTGGATAATATGGCTAAAAACGGCTAAGAATGATGGCAGCCGTCAGTTCAGTAACGTTAATCTGTTATGTTGATTGTGCTCGGGGTTTTAACAAATTTATTTAAGTTACAATTGTCCTTTTACGCTCGTCATTCCCAATTAAATGATCAATAAGACGTGTTATATGAAGAACAGCGTCGAAACGGGAGCTTGAATGAATGAATCATATGCTGTCCGTTTTATACAGTTGTAATAGGTGCCGAATTCTGCTTTTGTACTGGTTTTAGCTCAAACACTGAACGAACAGTCTCTTTTTGGTAACGTTAAACCTAATGATCTTGATTTGCTTGTTAATGTGTGTTTTATCAAGTTTCAGCAAAAGTTTGCAGAGTAACGTTATGTGGTTCATGCTGGCCACTGTTGAGACTGGTCTGCATTAAAAAAATTTTAAAGCCAAAACGTTTGAAAAAAAATCCACAGTTGAAACATAATGTGTTAAATGACTTATGAAGGAAATTAATTAGCTAAAAAAGAAGGCTAAGTGTGTTATGAAATATTAAACCTTGTTAAAAAATAAAATCAATTGTGTTAAATAAGCTTAAAATCTATATCTTATGTTTTATATTACTTTAAAACAGCCTGGAAACTGAATTGCACCATTAATCTTGTACATATGTATCAAGTCCAAACAAATGGTTTTGTGGCAAGTAAAAATAATATTTTTATAAATTGATTGTATTGTATTAATTTGTTACAGAAAAGAAAGGAATCATGCAAGGATGCAAGCTGAAGGAAAGGACAACTCTCACATCAGTGCATTACTAATTGTTTGACTTCATCATCAAGCACACCAGGTACAATATTGTACATATTTTGTAACTTGTATATTGTATAATGTTTTATTTATTATTAAAATATTACAAGATTTATTGCTGCTATTTTATCACTGTGTGAGGTCATAGCTTATTTAAAATATCTATTATTAAAAAAATAAAATTTAAAAAGAAAGTCTAAATGTTTCCATAAGGTAATTTATTGAATTGTTTTCTGAAAATGTAAAATTTGAAAGTATTGGTGAGCTGGAAAAACACAGTCTGTTGACGTAACTTTTATTTTTATCTTAACTTTTTATTTTATGTTAAAAGTAGATTAATTTACCTTGGATCGCATGTTTAAGTTATAATTTCAGAGTGAAAAATGTAAAAGAAAACCATTGAAAACAATGGCATAATGATTTTGCTTGTTCACAAGAGGTACTTGATTTATTTTTCCTGTAGTGATACATAAGTTTTTAAGACTAATGCTTGACACTTAAATTTTAAAGGGATAGTTCACCCAAAAATAATGACATCTTTTATCCTCCACTTGTTTCAAAATATTTTTTTTGTTCTGTTGAACATAAACTCAGGTGGTGCGGTGCACAGTGGATAGCTCTGTTGCCTCCCAGCAAAAATGTTTCTGGTTTGAGCCTCGGCTGGGTCAGTTGGCATTTCTGTGTGAAGTTTGTATGTTCTCCCCGTGTTGGCGTGGGTTTCCTCTGGGTGCTCCTGTTTCCCCCACAAGACATGCGGTACAGTTGAATTGGGTAGGCTAAATTGTCCTTAGTGAATGTGTGTAAATGAGAGAGTATGGGTTTTTCCCAGTGATGTGTTGCAGCTGGAAGAGTATCTGCTGCGTAAAACATGCTGGATAAGTTGACTGTTCATTCCATTTTGGTTACCCCAGATTAATAAAGGGATGAAGCTGAAAAAAAATGAATGAACACAAACCCAGTTTTTCCTACTATGTTAATCAATAGTTACAGGTTTCTAACATTCTTCAAAATATCTGCTTTAGTGTTTAACAGATTCAAACTGCTTTGAAACAAGTAGAGGATGAATAAATGGTGGCAGAATAGTAAACTATATCTTTAAATGTTTTATTCTATTCTATTCTAAGTTATGTGTATTCATATTTGTCTTGTCTTTTGTCATATTGTCCTTTTAGCTCAGATTGTGATGGACCTGGAATGCGACACCAGTTACTCTTAAAGCCTGATTTATACTTCTGCGTCAGGGGACCGGCGTAACCAACGGCGCATGCAACGCGCGTGGCTGTGCATTTATACTTCTGCGCGCTGTCTCTGTCGGTCTGCATTAACACTTCCGAAAAGCTAGTTGGCAGTGATGTTTAAATGTTCCTCTGTGTCGAGTTTCTTCGCTACTTTTTTGCTTTTCCTGAACACTTCCGGGATGTACAAGTGACTCAAACTCGCTCATTTTGAGGCAGGAACCGGTGGACGTACAACAACTTTAACTATGAGGTAAACACAAAACAAAACTTTCCATCCGGAGCTCCTTCACGGTACTCCACACTTGTAAACAATCGCTCGCTCACATTCGCGCTGCTATCAGTCCCGTCCAGACTTGTCAGCGCTACCAAGCCGACCAATCACAGAGCTTACGCTAGGCGTCGTGTAGTTAAATTTTTTGAGAAGTGCACGTCAGCGACGGCCACGGCGAAGGGCTATGCGTCAGCGCCATAGCATACGCCGGCGTTTGACGCAGAAGTATAAATCAGCCTTAAGTCAAGAACCAAATGAAGCACCAGAGTACAGATTATGGAGGTATCTGAAGTTGAACTAACTGGAAGCAGGGAACCATACTAATAAAGTTCCTTAAGGTAAAAGCACCTGCTTTATTTTGATAGGAAGTATTTTTTTATAGAGTTCTATTGTTTTATTCTTATTCTAATTTTATTTTATTCATATACTGAATGGAAGTCATTCAAATTTCACAACAAATGATTTGCAGATTGAATATAAAATATAATGACATTTTAATGCATTATTTCTTTTGGTTATTCTTTACATCTATATATGGGCAAGTATTTAATCAATGAAAATAATTTTAAACAACTTAACTAAACAAATTACTCTGTTGGACCCTAATATTTAAAATAGCAAAATCCTCAAACTAACACACACTCTTGTGAATGCATTCTCACATTCATACACTCAAAAACACACATTCATACAACAGTCTGTCTCAGTCTGACTCACACACAACATTCTCTCCCACATATTTTTCTAGCAAACCTCCACCACAAGCTTGTCCTTTTATGTTGCTTTTATTTCAAATATTTTAGAGCATGATATAGTCCAGGTTTTTATCACTAAGTATTTTTTTTCCCATTCAGCAGGTTCCTTGTAAAGATTAACCCAGGGAAGGATCGAATGTGGAGAAGACCAGATCAAGAAAGACTACATCAAGATCTGCGGTCAGTTCAAAGGTACTTTCACTAATTACCAAGATTTCAGACTATGAATTGATGGAGAAAACTTTGAGTGTCAGATCTTCCTACATCGCCTAGCAAAAATTCTTCCCAGTGTCTTGTAGTAGAAGTGAAGTAGTCAATCGAGTTTTCATTATTTTGTAAATTGCTTTCTGATTTAATAAAAAATATATTAACCAAACTTGATTAATGTAAAAATTTTGATGAAAAGGGCATGTTTTACTAGAGCTTTTAGCACAAAGGCACCCCCATCTTGGAATATTGCTGTGTCTGACGTCACGGGGTTGGTATGCTAGAAACGTTTTTGAATGAGGTATTTGTATGATTTATACATAGTCTGTCTTAAAGCGTCACTAAATTGTACAGGCATTACAGGTCAAAGCAATCTGTTGTTACATTTATCAAAATAAACAATAAGGCTCTTAAAACACTGCTTTGAAAAATGTAGAAAATGTAAAAAAATATTTCAAATATTTTATAATATTAATAATATTATAAGGAAGTATAAAACCTTCCTAAGCTTGAAAATATACTAAACTTCCTTAAAGGAAATAAACTTCCTTTGTTAGTGCAAATTCCTTTTTATGTAGTCTTGTAATTAAACAATTAAACCATTCAAACAAGTTTACACTTAAAAAAGGTCCGTAATGAAAATCCGATTTTTTTTCCCAAATGTAACTAGCTAAAATAGTACCATGTACTTTTACTCTGTATTAGTATTATTTACTAAAATTTGTTTTATTTTAGCAATATAATAGTATTTCTAGTCCTTTAATTTAATGTAATTTAATTTTCAGTTCTCTTTCCATCTACAAAAACATTAAAAAAATAATTTCAGAAGCACATTTAAAATAGGTTTAATACTATGAAATATTATATTAATATTATTTTTTATAAATTGATAGGTAGTTCCTATGGAATGTTTTTATGTATTGCTGAGAAAACATTTCAGGTGTTCAATACGTTGCTTGTCAGTCTTAAAAATAAAAATAGGTGCTTAAAAAAGTGCTTACAAGTCCTTAATTTTAATCGAGTTGTGCCTGTATGTACTCTGCAAACAGCACCTTTTAATTGTTGTCTTCTCCGATTTTCAGGATGTTTTGCATTGGACTGTTTTTTTGGCTTTGACCCTTGCTTGCCCCTGACCTCACTCTTGGACTGCCCTGTTGGATTTTCAGTTTATTTAATTAAAAAAAAAATTTTTGGTTCTGGGTAGATGCTAATAAATATTTAATTGTAATTATTTAATGTAAATCAAAGGCGGCAACACCAAGGCTCCAAAAATACAAATTTAATAAATTAAAAAGGCTGACACAGAGCGTGAAACGTTTCGAGCCGCCGGCTCTTCATCAGACAAATAATTTTTCGTTGTAATTTTTTAAATAATATGTTTTTGTTAAATATGCGATTTCCGTGTTTGTTCTGTCTACTCGTACTTGTTTATCTTGTTTCTGTAATTATCATTTGTTTATTTGACCCTTGCCTCGCCTCTGATCTTGTTTTTGGATTGCCCTTTATATATCTTTTTAATTATTGGTTCTAGTTATATGGTTATGAAATATTTGTTAATTTAATTAATATGCATTTTATAAAAAAATATATATATATTTTCTGTGTTTTTTTCTGTATCTATTTATCTAATTTGTATATACATTTGTGTTTGTATGTTCTTCTTATTCTGTATATCCACTTACCTAATTTTAACTTTTATATATATTTATTTGCATTTAATTTGTGATAATTCTGTATGCATTTATTTATCTAATTCATATATTTATATGTATTGCATTGATCAATCTGTTGTTGTTTTTTTTGTATGCATCTATTTATATAATTTATATAAATTATATATTTGTATTTATCAATTTATATGCTTCCTTTAAAGCAATTTTTAAAATAAAGCCATTTAAACTAAGCATTCCTTTTAATGTGATTTATATAGCTACCAAATGTATGATGATGAAATGGTCCCAGATATGGACCAAGCTTTTTCTGAGATATGGCCCAGATCTGGTTCAGTTGTGGCTGACTTTTGGATCCTTATGACAGCCACAATCAGGTTGAGACATCGCCGTCATTCCGCGCTGTATGTGGGCCAGAAGAAAGTGGGGGATGTGGGCCATATCTGGGCCAGATGTAATTTGCTATCAATGACCAGCATGGGATTGCTGGTCACTATCAGCGCCAGCATCCCAGCTGCATCTCATGCTGGTGACCAGCATCCCAGCACCAGCATTCCATGCTGGTCACCAGCATAGCACCCAAATCCCAGCAAGACCAGCATATGTTGTGTTTTGGTGCTGGTGACCAGCATGGGATGCTGGTGACCAGCATGGGATTGCTGGTCACTAGCATACCAGCGCCAGCATCCCAGCAGCATCTCATACTGGCGACAAGCATCCCAGCACCAGCATTTCATGCTGGTCACCAGCATAGCACCCAAATCCCAGCAAGACCAGCATATGTTGTGTTTTGGTGCTGGTGACCAGCATGGGATGCTGGTGACCAGCATGGGATTGCTGGTCACTAGCATACCAGCGCCAACATCCCAGCAGCATCTCATACTGGTGACCAGCACCAGCATTTCATGCTGGTCACCAGCATAGCACCCAAATCCCAGCAAGACCAGCATATGTTGTGTTTTGGTGCTAGTGACCAGCATGGGATGCTGGTGACCAGCATGGGATTGCTGGTCACTAGCATACCAGCGCCAGCATCCCAGCAGCATCTCATACTGGTGACCAGCATCCCAGCACCAGCATTTCATGCTGGTCACCAGCATAGCACCCAAATCCCAGCAAGACCAGCATATGTTGTGTTTTGGTGCTGGTGACCAGCATGGGATGCTGGTGACCAGCATGGGATTGCTGGTCACTAGCATACCAGCGCCAGCATCCCAGCAGCATCTCATACTGGTGACCAGCATCCCAGCACCAGCATTTCATGCTGGTCACCAGCATAGCACCCAAATCCCAGCAAGACCAGCATATGTTGTGTTTTGGTGCTGGTGACCAGCATAATACCAGCATCACAGCACCAGCATCCCATGGTCACCACAGCATAACACCAGCATCCCATGCTGGTCACCAGCATAGCACCAGCATCCCATGCTGGTCACCACAGCATAACACCAGCATCCCATGCTGGTCACCAGCATAATACCAGCATCACAGCACCAGCATCCCATGGTCACCACAGCATAACACCAGCATCCCATGCTGGTCACCAGCATAGCACCAGCATCCCATGCTGGTCACCACAGCATAACACCAGCATCCCATGCTGGTCACCACAGCATAACACCAGCATCACAGCACCAGCATCCCATGCTGGTTATCAGCATACCAGCACCAGCATCCCATGCTGGTCACCAGCATACCAGCACCAAAACACAACATATGCTGGTCTTGCTGGTGACCAGCAATGCTGGTCTATGCTGGTTTTTTCAGCAGGGATTGCAAATATAAAAGTTAAAATAACAAAATATATAAATAAAAGATGTAAAAAGACGTTTGGTTAATTAAAAAATGTGATATATTATTTAATACACTTTGAGAAAAGTATTTTGGTGTCAACATGTAATATTTATTAATAGGATGTTCAAATGTGACCAGACGGAACTTATTTGTGGTTAAATATGTTATTCCAGAATGGTAGCCATGTTTTTGTTTTCAGGAGAATATCTTCCAAAATGTTCTTTCTTTTTTTCTTTACTTTTCTTTTCTAAATCATCATTCTGAAATACAATAAAATGAGCCATGAAAATAGCAATAGAAGCTGGTGTGGCATTAAAAGGCAAATAAACAAAATGCAAATTGTGAATATGATCTCTTGAATCCTATTTGAGGCTTCATAATTTAAATGCTTATCCTAATATTTCCATAATTTAACTGATTAATGTGCATTCAGTAGTTTACATTCATGTGTATTGTTTTATTACAGTATTAACATTAATGCAATTTTCACATTTCACCTTCCTCGATAAATCCTGTTAACTGTGGAATTCAGTTTCCATTTTTATCACAAAACTAAACTCATTTTTAAAGCATTTTATCATGCAATGCGAGTCCTCTGTTCTTGAGTAATTGCAGAGTGTGATTTGCCAGCATTTTTAAATTAGCATCTACACCGAAAGAGCAATCTGAATGTGTTTGTGCCAACATTTTACCACTGGCATGTAATGAGTTATTAAAGTGAGAAATGAGTGTGAAAAGAGCTGCGGTAAGTGCAGTCAGGCAAGTGCAGTCAAAAGAGAGACCGTCCTATGTTTATTTTGAATTCATATAAAAACCTTCATATTTATTCAAACTAGTTTCCCTTGGATCTCTGTACAAACTTTGACATCGAACACCTATGTAAAATAAATAGAAAAACCATGAAACGACACATTTGCATTTCTCATGTGTATAAATCACATACAGCGCCTTCAAACCCACAATAAATCACACTGATGTTCTTTAGCAATGGGGTGAATTTCTTACTAAACCACAATCAAATCATTTACATAGATGTACAGGATATATGGCAGCATTTCTCTATATATTCTCTCTCCTTTTTATTTCAGACAGCAGGTCTTTGGCAGCCATTTCTCGTTGGTTATAAACTTGGAGCACCATCAATATTTCTGTCAGGTTTATCTTTGGCACACAGAAATGAAAAAGGCCTCAGGTCTGAAGACCGCATTGATGTTTGTTCACTTCCTAGAGCAGTTTAAAATATGAGCTGAGGGGGGAAACTTAATGGCTTTCAGGAGAACAATAAGTTCTGTCAAAGTTCATTTGAACTAGTTGACAACAGCAGGTGGACAAAAAAAGTCTCTTATTTGTTTGGAACTAGAAAAGTAGACATTTTCTGGACCTTGGAGTATGTTGAAATGTTTTAGGCATTACAGCTGTGGTTAAACTATATCTGTAACGGAGTCTCTGTGAGAGTCTTGAGGTCTGGTGTTTAGTTTCCGCCTGGTCCTTTCATGCTAGAGTCTTTGAGGGATTGGTGTGCGGCCCCTGCGCTTAGATTACAGGCTGAAGGATCGCAGTAGCCTGGTGGTCCGGCCGAACCGGGTGGTCCAGGAACACCTGGCTGACCTGGAGATCCAGGTGGACCACGTTCTCCATCACGTCCATCTTGACCATATCCTGGTATTCCAGGTTCACCTGCAAGACAGCAACAGGTCAGTCATTTTTATATACTGTATTTTTGGACTGTCCATTATGTATTTGACATTAACGTCAAACGAAACAAATTTTGAATGGCAGATTTTGTTGATTACTTCACGTTTTTGTTGCTTTTTAAATTAAAGTATGGGATTATTTTATGAGAAAAAAAATCTGTTACCTTTTTGTCTCTGAATAGTTTATATAATGGTTGGAACTTGTCAATTTGACAAAAGTAATTGTCTGTATTTTATCCAGTAAATTAATTATCTTTTTATGCTTATTTATTTTAAGATAAATACATATTTTCCCACACATTTTTAATTAGGGTTGTTGAATTTAACATCAGAATTTCTCATTTCTTTTCAGAATTAGAAAAATCTAAATAAATTAGTTTCAATCTTACAGTTTTTAGTTTACATTATGTTTTTTTGAACTGTTTATATGTGTTTGACATACAGCCATCATCTTTGTTTGGTTGAAGTCATACAGGTTTGTTGCTTTTTAAGGTTTGAAGTTTTTAATGGCAGATTTCATTAAATACTTCAAACATTTTTTTAGCTTTTTAAATGAAATTGGGATTATATTGAGAAAAAAATACCAAAAAAACAAACAAAAAAAAAAACATTTTTTGAATAAAAAACTTTTGCTTCCCTTTTATATTAAGTCGGCTTATTTAATGTGTACCTAGGGCTGGACAATTTGGCCTAAAATCAAAATCTCAATTTATTGAACATTTTAACTCTATTCCGATTATTTATTTATTTATTTATTTATTTATTTATTTATTTACCCTCATAGTTCACTGACAGGTTTTGTACGGTAAATATGCTCACATATTACAAGTGAGAGATTTTTTAATGAAGGGTGCATTAAATAATTAAAGGAAACACACACTATCTACTATCTATGATTATTTATTGAACATCAATGTTGAACAGCTGAAATTAAAACACACACACTGTCTAAAACTAACTGTCACTTTTTCTTATAATAGTGAAAATGAATAACTTGCACTTTTGAAAACAAAATAAATTATTTTCAGAGTTTTTCATATTAAAAATAGAAAATAAGCAGTTTCTTTTCTAAATCAAATAACTATTGT